GCTGCTTCTGTGGTATGTGCCCGAGGGGCTGATTCTATTGATATTGTGTCCGAGGGGCGGTTCCTTACGTGTTTATCTTTTATAGTTGCCTGTCATTCACTTGTTGAACTGTTAAAAGGCATTTTGAGGAGTTTAAATTGAACTAAAGTGACTTTACATATTTTCATTGTTTCACTGCTTTTATTGGCTTTTACTGCTTCTTTATAGCCTGTTGATGTGCCTTTACGCGATTTCTTGTTACTTTGTCTGCATTTATTATTATTACTCACTGAGTTGGAAGTACTCACTTTACTCCCTGCACCTTGTGTGCAAATTCAGGTATTTCTGAACTCGGTAGCGGGTATTGGTTGCTCAAAGGGAGAGCCATCGGAGTTTAGCAAGGTAGTTGCTCGATGTCCGCAGCACTGCTTCTCTCCCTCCTGATTTCATTAGCCTATATTTAGTGCATTTTTAGAATTTTCGTTGTATACTGTTCAATGAATTGTTTGCGAGCATTAACCACAATAATGACCTTAGCTTACCAAAACTTGGTGGTATTAAACCTGTTAACCTATTAGAGGAAAGATCAAGAGCCTGAAGTTTAAGAAGATCTCCATATTCTGAAGGTATATTGCCTCTAAATTGGTTGTAAGCAAGAATCAAAAACTCCAAACCTTTCATCCGCGAAATTTCAACTGGTAATGGACCAGTGAAGTGATTATCACTTAAGTCCAACCGCGAAAGGTTCACCAAGTTCGGAATACCTGATGACACTATACCTCCAATATAAGAGTTTCCATGCAACATGAGAAATCTCACCTGTGTCAATTGCCCGAAAATTTCTTGTATTTCTCCTCCAAAGTTGTTTTTACTTAGGTCCAGAAAAACCAATTTGCTTAGGCCTGATAATGTCTCTGGAATATCACTTGAAAAGCTATTGCTTCCTAAGGAAAGTTCTTTAAGACTCAGTATTGATCCAATCTCTCTAGGGATTGACCCTGAAAAGTTATTGCCCCACAAATTCAACTTTACTAATTCTTTACAACTAGAAATGGATGTTGGCAATTCTCCAAATAATAGATTTTCTGATAAATCTAAAACTAGCAAAGAGCAATTTTGGGTGAAAATCCAGGAAGGTAAAAACCCCCTGAATTGATTATGAGATGCTGAAAACATGTTCAGCTTATCAAACCTGAGTGACAAATTCCCTGTCAATTCATTGCAGCTCAGATCAAGATACTTCAGATTCCAGCACTGATCAAATACTCTTCCAATCTCACCAGTGAAATTGTTACTAGAAATATTTGCAACAACTAAGTTGTCACAACTTTCAGGGATTGTTAACCGACGAATCCTGTTCATCGTCAAATCAAGAACTTCCAGCTTGTTTAAACCAGTCCAGTTGAACTCACCATCAATAATATTGTGTGACAAGTTGAAGAATTTCAGATTTTGACACCGGCTTAAGTCTGCTGGAAAGGATCCTGAAAATGTGTTCTTGGACAGGTCAAGCGAGGTCAATTCTGTCATGGATGAGAAATTATCAAACAATTTCCCAGCCAGATTGTTGTCCGAGAGATCGATTCCAGTGACACGATTACTGGTAGTATTGCATGAAATACCAGGCCATTTGCAAGGTGACAAATCTGTAGGATTCCATTGAGTGTATTTAAAACCTCTGTCAATAGGATTTTGATCCTCAAGAAATGACTTCAGGTTCAGAAGTAATTGCTTGTCAGTCTCCAGTGAATATCCACAAACAAGCCTACCTGTAATTTTGCATAGTGAAAAAATCAAAAACATTAGTCATGCTGCAATAAATGTAAGTCTGCTCTCAAAAACTCAAAAACCATTTAAAAATTGACCTGCTAATTACATGTAAAAACATTATTCTTGCTGCAATAAATGCAAGTCTGCTCTCAACAACAAAAATAACATACTCAGTGTAATACCCCTGTTCTCAAAATCTCAAAAACCATTTAAATGTTGTTTGAAAATGGACTATTTTTACATGTAATAATAATTAATTACTCCATCTCTTTTGCACAGATAAATAAGAAAGTGATCAATTATGTACTAAGTCAGCCTCTAATACTAAGATTGATCAAAATCAAGCTATCAAACATGACATGAGGATAAAATTATTGAAGTGGTGAATTGAAATATACATACCTGTTATGAGAATGAAGAAATTAAGTAATGCAATGGGAAGAAGAATATGAGATTCCCCTTCTGACATGATAAGTGTCAAGTTCTCTTGTTTTCCTCTCTTTATTTCTTCTTTGTATTTTGCTGTGTGTCAAATGAGTTCTTGTTCTCTCTTGGTAGGAATATTAATATTATTAATGCAAAAAGAAGAAGGGGTTGGTTGGTTCCTTAGGAACAATTAATATCAAATGGGAGGAATAAACATAGGAAAATGTATGGTTGAATTTCAGAGAACATGCAGAATATGGACCAAAACAAATTGGAACACATGCACGTATACTATGCTATTTTTTAAATTAGTTATGGACTCCTAGTAGTTTAATTTTGACTAAATTGACTTGGTGATTATTAAAAATCAAAAAGTGTGTTTTATTATAACTCTTTTAGTTAGGATTAATGGTCTTTGATGGGGAGAGGACAAGCTTTGGAGGAATATAGCCGCCCAACTTGACCATAATTTATAGTGGCTGGTGGTCAGAGATGGTGTTTTTGGCCTTATTGTCTATTACTATTATTTTTTTGGTAAGAGGGGAAATCCGCTGTCGCTACAACCTCTATTACAGCTTCTATTCTTCGGGTGAGCACTATGTGCGCACTGGGTAAACCTCCCCCTGTGTAATAGCCTGCAAACACACAGGGGATGTAAACCGCATTAGGCAAGTCCTGTGCGACAGGCTCAACCCAGAAGGCATTGAGGGGTAATTCGATCTCATGTCATCCGTATGGATGACCACCCTCCAAACCAATTAGGCAACCCAAAAGGGTCTATTACTATTATTACTAGCTAGCTTTTATTTACTAGCTCTAGAACTCAACATTGACCAATTTTCACGTCCGGACAGTCTAGTGGTTAATATGTTACAACTAATCATACTTCAGTAGTTAATGAATTAAGTTCCAAACAGTGCACGAGTTCGACAATGGCCATGATTTATTGTCCATTTGAGTCTTTCTATATTCCTATAAATCTCGACCCTCGGTCTCTACACTCTTGCTCTCCAAGAGAAAACATTAATGCTATTAAAATTTTATTTAAGAAACAAAGGTTAAATAGGACATTAAACCTCATTAAAGATAAGATAGAGGAAACAAATCAAAAATCACGTCGGAGTAAACATAAATTCCTTTTACAAAAGTTTCAGGAATATAGTACTCTATAAATTTTGAACTATAAATTTTCTTCTCCTTTTTTGTTAACTTCCACATTTTTATCAAGTCAAGTTATATTCATCCGCTAGCTTTTCTACATATCTAAATGACAACTATATCAACAACAACAACAACAACGACCCAGTGTAGTTCCACTAGTGGAGTCTGGGGAGGGTAATGTGTACGCAGACCTTACCCCTACCCCGAGGGCAGAGAGACTGTTCCCAGGAAACCCTCGACTCAAGAAGACGACAAGAGAAAATGACAACTATATCAATTCTCCAATTAATTTGGTGCTCCATCATACATGTATATTATTCAGAGTCCTGACATTGTTCATTAGCCATCTCTGCGTAACTTAAACACAAGGCCAAATACACATGGTAAAACAAGAAGAAAATGATCTTGAGAATAGAGAAATCTTTGATAGGGAGCGATTTTCTTTTAATAGGTCATATACGACACAAAGTTGGATTATGAATCAGTGCATTTCAGATATCAGACGGTATACTGATATACAAAAAGAAAGAATAAGAACATGCCTCTTATTATTTTATAAATAATTTACTGAAGTTGGATTTATTGATGGGTGAATTGGAGATTTTTAGATTTTCTCATCAATTATTAGTTCAACAAATAGTTTGTTTAGCTTTCTCTACTCATATCATTTTCATAATTTCATTTTCTAATATATAATCTCGTTTAAGGAATTGCAAACTAGCGCAGACAGAGACGTCACCTTTTCACGTCATGGGGAATGAAGGACCTTTCGTCGCACGCGTTCAACATCACGTGTGAACGTGGAAATATCCATGCATTATTTTGTTTGCACGTAAAATAAAAGAGGTTTGTATTTATCTCTCTCCTTTTCATTTTTGTTGTCAATTTTAGACTAAACGACTTTGAATAACTATTTGTACTACCGGATTTACCGTAGAAAATTTATGTATATGCATTGATAATATAAAATATTTTTGCACAATCAATGTATATTTTAATTTAGTTACATTATTAAGTTATTTTTTAAAATTGCTTCTCCTTTTTAAGAGATAATTTTATCTATGGTCATTGAACTTGTGTTTGTTACCCAAAAGTCACTTTTCTTTTTTTTGTTACGTAAAAATCATTCAACTTTGTGTTCATTACACAAAAGTCACTTTTCTTTCTTTTGTTACACAAAAATCATTTTACTTTGCTCTAGTTATCACAAAAATCACATTTTTACTTGAAAAGTCTATTATGCCCTTGATATTATATAAACCTTCATATTTATGTAATACCTATATTATATACTATATAATATATTTTTACTTATGTATTTTATTTCTAAATAAAATAACTCAATATTATTATTTTTTTATATGATATATTCGTATATTTAAATTTTTCTAACTTTAATTTTGAAGATATATTAGTAGCGTTATAAAACAACTTTTTTTCAGCAATTCTTTTTTTTGAATATAATTAACCGATCAAAGTTGGTCGGTAATTTCCGACCAACTTTGGTCGGTATGCCCTTCCGACCATCTAAATACCGACCACACGTTAATGGTCGCGTTTTTTACGGTGATTGGCCATTACCGACGAACTTTGGCCGATTTTTCCCGAATTTCTATTAGTATAATTTCTCAAATAATTAACCAATTGCCGAGGTAAATCCCCAAGAAAATATCCCCAGCTAAATTCGCATGTAGAGTTACCTAGGNACCTTTTAACCTGTACCTTATTTTCAAAATTATTGATTTGGTAGCCAGTTAGACAAATAATACTGTAATAATATGACACTTACACCCCTAATAAATCGCGTGATCTGCAACCTCATTCATGAAAAAAGATCTCATCCTCTCCTCTCAGCAGCTTTATCAAAAAATCAGAAATTTCATGCTAATGTAGCATGAAATTGTTTCATGTTGAAGCTAAGACTTCATGCTAATATAGCATGAAGTTGTTTTAGATTATGAGGCTGAGGGCCTGAGATTTGTATGTCACGAGGTGGCTTGTTGATATGAGGCCGAAAGCCTATTGATGATGCCACGAGATGGCTTGATATTGCGCTTGGGCCGTAAGGGGCCCCTCCAAGAGTCTGTACACCCCCAGTGAGCGTGGGTACCCAGTGTGATGATTCTATTTATTATGTGAGGCCGAGGGCCGGATTGATTATGCCACGAGATGGCTTGTTATTGTGCTTGGGCCGTAAGGGGCCCCTCCCGGAGTCTGTACACCCCTAGTGAACGCGGGTACCCATTGTGATATGAGATATAGCCCGAGGGGCTGGTACTGTTCCATGTGTTTGCCGAGGGGCTGCTTCTGTTGGTAT